CCTCCCCCACCCCCTAAAAAAATATTTCTATCATTACAACTTTTTACTTTGCAGACTTTTATTTTCTTTTATACAGGAACATTGATTGATTTACAGTAAAGTCCCCTCATACAGTCAATATAAAAAAAAAACACTTACACTTCTGAAGATAGTTCAAGATACTGGCAGCTGCTCTCTCAGGGCTCGGATGCTCGATGAAGAAAGGGTGTGAGGGTGCTCCGTTCGGGTGGAGGCTATGCGCATGCGCTGTTACCGGCCGTGACGTCATGGTACGCGCTTGCGTATGCTCGTTCAGGCGCAGGGGAGGTCAAAAGGAGGAGCCAGTTCGTCCTTCACTATGCGGTAATGCCGACCGCATAGTGAAGGATCGGAATTTTGACCGCACGGCCGGCGGGGCTGAAGAGGCAGCTGCCTTGGTGGCCCACAGGAAGAACTGGGCCGGAGCAGCTGCCTTTAGCCCTTCGTTAAAGATGGCCCAGCGGCCGTTTTTAACATGCTTTAGGGCGGCCTGGGGGGCAATTGCCTCCCTGCCCCCCGGCCCAGCCCGCCCCTGTCCCCAGGAGAACAGTTGGATTGCGACATCCCCTGCGATATGAAGTCTGTATCTAGATGGATAATTTAATTAGTGGCCAGACACAACAAAAACAAAGAACATCCCCAAACAACTAGTGTCCCTGGAATGCTCTCTTCAGATCGCCCACTCTGTCCAAAAAGCAGATCGCATGTGGCTAGCCTGTTTTAGGTGGAAGTCAAGTTTTCAGTGGCCTTAGCTATCCGACGCAGAGTTCCTGGCTCCTTGGTGGAAATTCCCAGTCACCTAAAACCAGCATGCTTTTCGTGGGTACATGGAAGACCAGGCAAAGGCAGAAATTTTAAACAACTATTTTTATTCAGTATATATTAGTGAGGATCCTACGGCAAGAGATAGGCAAATGATTGCTGCAAAAAACTTGCAGATAACTTGTGATTGGTTGACTCAAAACAAGTTGATACAGCAGTTAAAGAAAATTAATGTAAATAAAGATCCGGGGCCTGACAGTATTCACCCACAAGTACTTAAGGAGCTAAGTGTGGAAATAGGTCAACCTCTGTATTTAATCTTTCGAGGTTCTTTTCTTTCAGGAATTGTACCAGAGGATTGGAGGAAGGCAGATGTCATTCCTATATTTAAAAAGGGTTCAAAATCCTTGCTTGGAAATTATAGACCTGTGAGCTTAACCTCTGTGACTGGGAAACGTATTTGAAGGGTTATTAAGGGATAATATTCAAGAATTCATTGGGAAGAACTTTGTTATTAGCAATAAGCAGCATGTTTTTATGAAGCACAGGTCATGTCAAACTAACCTAATTGCATTCTGCTATGAAATAAGTAGAAGTATAGATCAGGGTGTTGCAGTGGATGTGATTTACTTTGATTTTGCCAAGGCATTTGATACGGTTTCTCACAATAAGTTAGTGTTCAAACTAAAATAAATTGGTTTAGTTGAATATTCTTGTTCTTGGTATAGAGTACAATGAGTTGTCATTAATGGTACATTTTCAGGCTGGACAAAGTGGTAAGTGGTGTCCCTCAGGGTTCTGTTTTGGGACCGCTTCTATTTAACATTTATAAATGATCTTGAAATAGGCATTGAAAGCCATGTATCAGTGTTTGCAGATGACACAAAACTATGTAAAGTAATAAAATGTGAGCATACTTTGCTGCAGAGAGATTTGGATAGATTGGGGGACTGGGCACTAAAATGGCAGATAAAATTTAATGTAGAGAAATGCAAAGTTACGCACTTTGGGGTCAAGAATGCACAAGCAACTTAAACCCTAAATTACACCCTTATTTTGATAAATTGTGAGTAGATTAGGGATAACCACATATGAGAAGGATCTGGAAATTTGTTATAGACAACAAATTAGGCAGCAATATGCAATATCAATCTGCCGTTGCTAAGGCCAGTAAGGTTTTGACATGCATGAAAAAGTTCATTAATTCTCGGGGTGAGAATATCCTTTTGCCTCTTTAAAATCGCTGGTATGACCACACCTTGAATATGCTGTGCATCTTTGTGCACCTGTTCTAAAGAAGGATATTATGGCACTAGAAAAAGTGCAGAGATGAGCTACAAAATTAATAAAAGGATTGGAACATTTTAGCTATGAAGAAAGGTTAACAAATGTTAGTCTCTTTAGTTTGGAAAAGCGGTGCCTCAAAGGGGATCTGATAACAATATACAAAATATATTCAGGGCCAGTACAAACCATTATCTGGAAATCTATTCACAAACTGGACTTTACATAGGACACGAGGTCACGCATTTAGGCTGGGAGAAAGGAGATTTCATCTAAGGCAAAGAAAAGGGTTTTTTTACAGTAAGAACAATAAGGATTTGGAATTCTCTGCCAGAAGAGGTGGTTTTGTCAGAGTCCATACAGATGTTTAAACAGCAATTGGATAAATACTTCTAAAAACATAACATACAGGGATATAATTTCGAATTAGTGGGGTAATAGCTGCTTGATCCAAGGAGATAACAGACTGCTATTTTGGGGTCAAGAAGGAATTTTTTCCTAGTTTGTTGCAAAATTGGAAGTGCTTCAGACTGGGTTTTTTGCCTTCTTTTGGATCAACAGCAAAAACATATGTGAGGAAGGCTGAACTTGATGGACGCAAGTCTCTTTTCAGCTATGCAACTATGGAGCTCCCTCAAGTCTAGGGTGTCAATAAATGCCTCAACACCTCCTTTATTTCTTCTCCAAAAAGAGCCCCGTTACATAGTCCTGGGACCGAGAGTGCTTGTGGCAAAATTTTAGCGAATCGCGGCTGCCCCACAATCCGAATAAGAGTTCTATGGTGTTTGGTGGTTGCTCCTGGTCAGGTACACTGTGCCTCTGGAGCCTTCCTGCAGGTCTCGGATGCTCCAGAATTCTACTCTGAAGGGCGCTGAATGGAGAGACAAAACTTGAACATGGAAAACATGGATATCTCCCAACCATCACCTCCCTCTTTGTGGAGGGAGGTGATAGTTGGGAGATATGTACCAATCCTGGGTGGACCGGGTGGTCTGTCATATCGGTGGCCCTGTCCGGTGGCACTCCAGGCTTCCTGAAACCGAAAGGGGAGAGTTGAGATCAGAGCTGGAAGCAACTTTGGGGTTAAACCGATAAAGGTTTAACCCCTTGAGGTAAGAGTGCACATAGGGTCCTCCTGGCACCATAACAACTTCTTTAAGATGAAATTGTTATGGTGCATTGAGTGTTCCTTTAATCAATAAATTTCACTCACAGCCACTTACTCCCTCAGTATTTAGAATTGGCCACTAAAAAGTACATTTAATAGTGGATTAATTGGTTTTATAGCTCTGCTAGCAGTTTGTTTTTGAGAGAGTGTCTCTCACACCTTATTGCTCTTCATATAATCTGTAACAGAGAACAGTTTTCGATACCAAGGTATCACAGATGCTACAATACTTTTCTTCCTACAGACGAGCATGGAAAATGAGGTTCACATTCTGGGTTTGTGAAAAGTGCATCGAACCCCCAACCATCCGGCCAGGTTTACTGTTTGACTTCTTTAATAACAACCTTTTGCTGTTTTAAAACAAAACATGGCTTTTACGAGACAGTTCCCAATACAAGGTTTATACATGATATCACCCTGCAGGTGTTCCTCGAAGTATTGGAAAACTATCCCTCCGCACGCTATGGAGCGCATATCAATGCAGACATGGTGGCTTTTGGAAGCCGTCGTCAGACATCAGATTAACTCCTTGTGGACCTGGAGTGAGCTATAATTGCAATAATGATGATTTAGATTGTTTTTAAATGCTGTAGGACATGTTTTATTTGAAATAATTGGGAACACAGGGTAGCTGTCAATTCGCTGAATAAAAGTTTGTAAACCAGGATAAAGATTAATTTACGTATAAAAAAAAATTCTATGGAAGATATTTATTTGACCGACCGCAGGCATGGTCCCATGCCCAAAACAGTTCCAGAGAATCAGGGGTTGCGGTCGGTCTAGTTCGGTAGTTTGAAAATGAACAAACTACCGAACACAGCCAATAGTCTTACCCTGGAGCTTGTTTCTCTCATCAAGACAAATAATTTCACCGAACAGTGCCCTTCTAAGTTGAATAGAACCAAACGCAGGCTATGATAAAATTCCAGGGCTGTTCGGGAGTTTCTGTATCCGGTTTTACTTCCATGAGATTCATGCCCAAACACCACTGCCTGCGTTCATGCGAACAAGATGGCCACCACCTCGTGGTTGTCTATAGGAATTGTGGCCACCCAGACAAACAATTAGAACACTGGGGTGAGAAACGTTCCAAGTTGTTAATAGGTGTTTACAAGCTCCTGGGTGGTCTCTGGTTCGTGCGGTTTGTTCTGTAAATGAACCATATAATCCCACTTGCATGAACAGAGACTTTTCCATTATTTTTCACAGGGTCCATAGTGTGTGGGCAGGAGGCTGGCAAGCTCAGGTAAAAAGGGGAATTTGTCACATATCTTCCACCTCCCGGGGAGACTATCCAGACCCCAGACCTCCAATCGGTCTGGTGGCCTTTCCCAAAAGACATGGTTGTCCAGGCGGCCTCCTGCCACAAGTGCCGATTTGTATATCCATTGTAATGGGGAAACAACCTGGACGCACTCCCCCCCATTTGGATCAAGTTGTTGCTGGGGACGGAGGGTGCAGTTTCCCTCATCTGTGCCTAGTGCCTAGTGGGCAGAGGCCAACGGCACTCTGCCCTGTAGCCAGCGGTTCAGCTGGGTTGGTTGGTGGGTTGTC